CAAACACATGATCTACTCGTATGCGCAATCGGACACATGGCAAAAGATAATTCGTAAACAAACAAGTTCTCCTTCGAAGAGAAGTTTAGGCAATATCTCGACTTCTTAGTTAGGATACTTTTCTATAAGGAACTAAGAGGTCCTCTCCTGGCTGCTAAAATCCTAGATCCTAGTGAAAAATGTGCACAGAACTACAGACGGCTGCATCATTTGAAGATTTCCCACCGCTGCGCAACAGTAGCCGGAAAATCTTTTTTGTATGAGTTATTCTGAGCAAAAAGGTGCATGGCTCTCATACTTTTTCTTAAAGAAAAAACGAGTTATTGGTGTTTTCGAACTCTCCTGTAACACAATTTTGGTCACCCTATCTATCTACAGTTTCTAGCTTGTTTGTAGGTCTGAAAACTGCAATTTTCATTTGAATCGTTAGGGTTGCGGTTTTCTCCCGATATCTCAGAATGGCGGAAATCGGGTTGGAAACCGTCCTTGCACTAAAATACCAGCACTGATATACAGCTTTGAAGAAATGATTATTTTCAAGAGAAAGAAACGGTGAAATTAAAAATTGCCACTTATATATGCCAACTTCCTTTCAATTTGTTACTTAGTGAATATTCAAGTCAAAATCCTGTTAGCAGTAGCTTGGAAGATCAAAACTTACCATGTGCTTGCAATATTGTAACTTTCTTCGACCTACCAGAAAATACATTATATTAAGACACTTTGGCAACGCGGCCCATTATCCACCGACCACAGAGAGCTAATTGATACTGATTTATACATTAAGCTCTCTCTTCTCCCCCTCCTTTGTCTCTAAAAAAAGACAATGTGACCGGCTGCGATATCTTCATTCCAGCATCCTCCCACTAATTTTGGTCCCCCAGATGAAAGCGATTTTTAGTCGGCTGTCTGGCAAAATGTTTTGGAATCGCATAAATTAGAAATTCTACTATTGTCACTAGCTCTTTTAGTATTTCTTAGCAACCTGGGCCAAGATTGCTATGAGGAGAATTAGGCACTACATCCCCCCCCCCCCCCNAGATTACCATGAAAATGAAAGGACGAAGAGAGAAATACAGTGGAGTGGAACTTTGTGAGGAAAAACCAGCACTGATGACCCTCTAGTAATTTTTTTCAGTCCACAATACGTTTGTATCTTCATTGAAACAAATGTTCCCATTTTGAGAGATGGCGACAAAATCATCAAGTCAACTGTTTATTATTCCTCCAGTTTTCAAACGTCCAATAAAATGAATCCCTCGACTTCAGCCAGAACTTGCTGCTTCATAGTGCAATGCAGTTTTTGCAGCGCTGCAAGATTTTTGACTCTTCCAAATGTGTCTGAGGATTACCAGATAACCACAATACTTGTTATTGCTTCAAACGCCTCTGAGATGGATATTGCTATTTATGAATGAGTCTAGTGTGTCAGACACGAAGGCGCGTTAATGGTAATCATGGATGCCAAATTTAAATTTCACACCTAGATTTCTCATTTTCCTCAGATTTCAAACTTTTGTGATTTTCATTGACTCTAGTGGTGAATTTCAAAGTCGAAGATTAATCTAATTAGCTATATCGAATATGTCTAACATACTTATCGAACAGGTTCTAGCCTAATAAGTCAGAGCTTTAAACTATCGAGAATTCTAAATCCTAGTTGACAACCCTGACCCTGCTAACCTAAGGCACACCGTTGTCATGTTCACCGCTTCGAGAATGAATGACCAATCCATACTTGCTGTGTCAGCATGTTTTTTCCATTCTAAAACGCATGTTGGAATGTCACATCTTATTTTTCATTTTATTTTTTTTTCTTGCAGTATTTTTATAATTTTTTGACGAGCGTGTGATAGAATTTTGGTTCTGAATAAGTGCCTTAGCGTCTGAGTACTTTAAAAACCTTGAAACTTTGAAATTTGGCCTTGGATGCGTGCCTCCAGGCAAAGTTTCTAATCGTATAATTGCTGAGGGAAATTTTAGGGCGATTTGCCCATCCTGGTATGCCTTACGGTTTTAACTCCACTGAGATGGTAGTTTGATGAAAATTTTACATACATACATAAAGCCGCATTTATAATGCCGCCTCGCGCTCTGCGACGCCCAATCGCCATTGCCCCCTATCCTCCCAGAGATCATAAGGCAATTGGCACCTTCTGATCTGCTCCTCCACTCCTTGTCGCCAACTTTTCACAGGACGTCCACGCCGTCGCCTTCCGGGAGGAACCCAATCGAAAACCTGCTTGGGCAACCGATCGTCTGCCATCCTTCGCACATGTCCATACCAGACCAACTGCTTGGACCTGATGAAACTTTTGCCAACTAATAATTTTGCGAAATTTGTACGTGCGTTACATTAAAATTTGACAGAGAAACCCTTATTGCGGTAGTAAATTTATTACGCTCGGTTCTATTGGTCCATTTATATGTAAAAAGCATTCAACACAGGTTTCCATTTTTTTATTTTTTTTTTTTTTTCATTTTTTATTTTTTTTTTTTCGGGCCGATGATTTTAAGGACGGCCTTCTCCTGTAATATGGCAACAAGTCTGGTGGGGAAGCTCCGCGGGCAGACGCTTGGCGGCTCGGGGAACGGCGCGCGCGGGGCTATTGAGGTATTGAGGAACATGCAGGATCCTGTGCATCAGCATCCCCGCGCGAGGTGTGTTGCGCGCCGCATGACATCGCTCCACAGCGTCGTCGTATGCCGTATGGGTGCGGTTATATGTAAATGAGACTCTGGTTAAGACTAATAATGACTCCTTTCTTCAACCTTTATCGCCCCGCACCTCCCTCAGCCTCGGCCGCGTTTGATTACCACTCCTGATCTCGCTCTCCGAGCAACAACCGCTCAAGCACAACGGAAACCCGCGCGGAGATACGCGGTTTGGCCGGCGATCCTCGCACGCGTACCCTACAACATACTCACTTCGCCAACATATTCACACCTTGTTCCTCCGCGTATCCCTTTTTATTGGCTTTTTTTCATTTTTCCCTCGCTTTTTTAATTTATGTATCGTACTTTAGTCACATTTGAAACTAATCTCCCGCCTGCCTCGCCGTTTGTTTATACTCTCTGCTCGCTTTGTTTTATTTATCCCGTGCCCGTGTTGCTCGTTGCGAACATGAATCGCTTGGCCTCGGAACCTGGCAAGTCCTTTCCCTCGTGAACCCTGTTCTTGGTTAGGGTGCGTCTATCCTAGGGTTCATCGGACGATGGACGTGTTGCGTTTCCCATCACACGGAGCAAGTGATAACCAGAACCCCAACTCGAATACTACCGGGCTAAGGAAGAACGCCGTATGGACCTTCGTGCGTTGCCAAATTTATTTGAGTAAAATACGAATTTTCAGGAAAACTTGTACAAATTTTCCGTCCACTTTCTCAGAGAATTTTTTTCGCAATGTGATCTGAAGTATCAGAAAATTTTAAGTAGAAATATTCATTATTCGTCTCAAAAATTAATATTTTAGGAGGGGAAGTTTGGCAACCCTCGGATGTTCATACGGCGTTTTTCCATAGCACGGCAGTATAGTCATTAAGATATCGGGCGCTATGAGCGCACATAACTCGGGGCGCTGACAAATTATTTTAGTTAGATCTCCGATTGTGTTGACATCTACAGCGACGTTCGTTCTTGGCCTGCGCGCCCAATCCGGGCACGGTCCCTTCGTCGCCGATTAGGGGGAGGCATATTGCGCCGATAAGTCTCCGGCCAATTAAATTCTGCGCTTGATTCACTTCCCTTGGTGTATCACTCTTGGTCGTTCCAGCTCCGTGCGCGAGGTCAAATCAATTACCTGGGATCTATGAGCGCGGTGTAGGAAATGTCCAAATCCAAATCGACACAACACGCATTTCTACCTCGGAAAAATAGCCACAGGACAAGGTTCAAACTCAAGCAATCATTTATGGCATCTCATCAAAATTTTGCGTACAGCATAAGTTTTTGTAAGCTGTGACCTGGGGGTCCAGTTGTTTCTTGTGAGCGGAAAATTAAACTGTTACGTAACCGACGCCAAATAAAAACGTTTCACCGAGAGTTAATTTCGGTACTTTCCGCTGTACAAATCGTATTCTAGTTGGAATTTTGAAGAGGAATCATGTATTGGAATGCTTAAAGTCGAACCTTCTGTAACACTCAACTCATCAAGCATCTTTCATCAGAAGCAATACAATTTTTCATTTCCTGGACGAAAGACCTTAACTTCTTTACAAGGTTGCAAAATTGATTCAAGCCATTCAATTTTCCATAAGAACGTACCTTTGCAATTTTTGTCCAAAACTTCTCTGATTTTTGCATGAAACCAGAGGAAAAGTCAGTGTAGTTTTCAGTTAGAAATTCTCAAAATTCTGCAAGTAAAAATGCAAGTTGCGAGGAAAAATTTGTCAGGATTGAAATGGACTGCATTTTGCAATTAGGAACTATAAATTATAGCCCGATTTAAAAGAAAAAAGGATGTGCCTTTAGTTTCCCTACGCACGGAAGTGTTTTTCCAGAAGAGCCAGAATTTATAGTTCTAAATTGCAAAATGCAGTCCAAATGTAGTTACGGCCTTTCGTGAAGGGAACGAGGAATCTCCCAGTGGAAATTCTCCATTGTCTTTACTCTGTGAACGGCGGTCTGTGGACGACGCCTTTCATTTATAAGAAAAGAACGAACACATTATGAATAAGAATAAACATGAATGTGGTCTAATGATCTTAATTTCCGCCACCGCGCCAATCGCACTGTGTTTGGCGCAATGCGTGAAGTATCCCTACAGTCTTGTAGGCGCTATGCGTTTCACGCTGACCGCTGCTGACCAAGTGACCGCACTATTTTTGACGCAATGCGTGGAGTATTCATGCAGTCTTGTAGGCACTATGAGTTTCACGCCAACCGCTGCTAACCGCACTAATTTTGACGCAATGCGTGGAGTATTCACAGAGTCTTGTAGGCGCTAATATGTGTTTCATTGGTGATGCGTATCTAACGGCGACGGTTTTCTTATGTTTCAGCAGCAGCAGGCTCAGGGAGCGGCGGACACGTCGGCGTCGGGGGCGACGGGCGAGGACGTCGCGACGCTGGGGGCGACGCGGGGACCCCCATCGCGGAGCTCCAGCTCAGCCCTAAAGCGCTTCAGAAAGTCGTCAACAGCTCCGAGTCGGACGCAAGTGTTTCTGAAGTAGTGATCAACGCGGACGACTCGGAGCCGGAGGACGCGGAGCTCGAGAACTGCGAGACGGCCAAGAAGACGATGGGACTCGCCTGCAAGAAGTGCAAGCTAGCTTTCCCGGAGGAGCCGGCCATCATCGAGCACCTCAAGTCCAGCGACTGCAACTGCGGCGTCGTCAGGTTAGTCCAGTGCGATTTCCTCTGCAAGCGCTGCGACGCCCGCTTCCCGGGGGTCGGCGAGTGGCGGGCCCACTTCGCTCAGAGCCACAGGGCCCCGAATCTCTCCGACGAGATGGAGGACGTCGTCAACCAGATCACGGCGCTGGCCGCTAAGGCCGCCGCCGCCGATTCCAACGCCAACCTCTTCTGCGCCCCGCCGCAAGGCCCCGAGCCCAAATCCAAGCTCTTCGTCACCCCGAATAGTGTCCCTGTGCCGAGCACCGGGAAGTAACTCCATATTTTGTATCCGTAGACCTACCCTGGTAAAAAAGAGGGGTTTGGGTCACTGAAGCGTCTTGGCACTCAACTGACTTCAATGAGCGCTCCAGGTTCGACCCTCCTCTCACCAACCCGGGTCCTCCTACAATTGAATGAAAATAAGCAATTTGGCTGCATCTGCATAAAGAGTTTTAAAAATACATGAGTCTGATAGCTTTGGATCCGTAACATTGGTCAGATGGAGACACATTGTAAATAGGAAGATCTTTTTTTACCAGGGTAACTTTCATGTCAGAGTAAGATGATATCTTTTTCACGGGTGAGAAGCCACCTGCAATGTGCAAAACTGCAAGTTAACTCTCAAAAAGCATGAGTGAAAAAGACAAGCCATCAAATCTAGACTCAAACGAGGAATTTTGAATATTTCCAATACTTAATTCAATTTTGACCAGAAGCGCTTGACTCAAAAGCCCACACCTCAGTTTTTAAAATGTCAGCTTCAAAACTATGACGTGTCGCATGCATCTTGAAACATACGTCCAGTCGCCTTTAAATATTTGTCATTTCTTACCCACTCACGAATAATTTACAAATTCAAACTGTGACCCTAAAACCCGATTTTGACTTAATCAACAGGAGTTTAATTACATTGCGAATTTGTCCATAATCATCATCATCATCGCTAAAATGAGACGAATTTTCTGTGTTCTTCTACTCACATTAAAAATACCGATTCGTCGATATTATAATGAACGTTGTGCCCCTCCACATTCGTGGATAGACAGCGCTGCTCCATAAAAGTATCAGTTCCTAAGCGTAGTTTTTCGTTATTTGTGTGTTTAAATATGTACAGATCTTTGAAAATTAAGAGTAAGTAGGAAACTTTAGCCAATAGCGTTAATCGCAATTTAAATTGTTCTGCTAATCTTCTCCGCGTTCGACTTCAATCATATTTAAAGTTTGATAAATCACGGATCAAGATCTTATGTGCGGGATTCTTATCAAATGTTTATTTTTTGAATAACAAACTTAAATACTTTTCGGTTTTTCGTGTTTCTTAGAAAGTTCCTAACGTTCGTATTTTATTCTTAATGAAAATCTTTATTATACGTATTTAATACAAATTGTATGTTAAAATGTGACTTTTTATTATTCTTGATAAATATTTGAGAGTTTTACACGACATTCAGACTGCTAACACTAGGGAGGCAATTTAGACTCGCTCCCCCATTCATGTTGTACATACAAATATGTTTCATATAGAAATAATTACATTTTATATGCTAGGTATTTTAATTTCTCTTTCAAGTTTTGTTTTTTTACTTCTTGAGAATTTTTCCTTCTATTATGAAGGGCAAAATACTATTTAATAACGGTTACTTTCCGACTCTTTTGTCCAGGGTTGACAAATCAGTCGTTTGAATGACTGTTAATATTTTTCTTTTGTCGTTGATTGCAGATTGTCTTTGTAAATTTCTGTATGTATATTTATGCTCATAAATATATATACTTTTATTATTACATTCATTGCTATGATATTATATTTAGAGTGTATGAAATACTGATTAAGACATGAAATCCAAACCTCGCTATTTACATGTGCTTTTTTAGTTAATATTTAAAAATTTAAAAAAAAATGAAAAATGATAACAATCGTTAATAACCAAAATACTTTTGGTCGTGTAATTGAGTTTAAGATAAATAACTAGGAAATGTACTCAAATCATGAACAGGAAAATATGATTCTATTAAGAAGAGACCTGTTAAAAAAGACAACGCATGTTTTCCTTGTATTATGTAGCTCACTATAATATTATTTTCGTTTTTATTGTCTTTTCCTTCTTTTTTCTTTTATTTGTTTTGCTTTTGACTGTGAGCGTCTTTTGTTATTTTACATGACTGTCTTCTTAGTCTTAAAAGAAGAAACTTTTATTCTCATTTTTTTGTTCTTGATTTGTTCTTTCATTTTTGTATTTTTAGTTTATTCTCGGGATTGGATTTCTATGCCTTTGCAAAAAAAATAAATGTAATGTTTATTTTTGATAATCAATCAATATCAATGATAATCAATCAATACGCGAAACATCGAAGAAATCCTCCTGTATTGCCCTGCTTTTCAAGATTTCTGCTTTTTGTTACCCCTATTCTAGGGATTGTAACTGAGAGCAGATGTTTTCACTTTCCTCTTATATTTTTGTTCGATTTACGCCTGCGGCTGGGAACAAGCGGTAATCGATTCTCTGTATTTTTCTCTTTCTTCTCTTTATTTCTACTTTTTCTTTTTTCGTCGACGTTTGCATAGGTCTACTAAAACCCCTAAAAGAGAAATATTATCTGGCTGATTATTTAAGCCCATAAAATCCGCTGGAGATCGCTGGTAAGTAATACGTGATCGATGACAACTCCTGAGCTGACGGAGAAATTTTTGCTCCTATCCGATATCACGGAAGTAAAGGCTGTCTTTGTAGAGCTCATTTGATCAAATGATTGCCATCTCTATAATGCTCCCGCAAAATTGTTTCGAAATCTTCAAAGTCTTAAAAAGACATCATTTTTTTGCACTCAACTTTCAATTTACCATCATGAAACCGTACAGATCTGTTTCTTAAATAAAATCTTGAACCTATACATTTTCTCGTTAATCGTGCCATTAAATTTTTAGAAACTCATTGTAGACCGAAGCAAACGTAACTTGTATACAAATGAATTTTGTACTTTATGAGAACATTATTGGATTTTTGCATGAAGCCTCTGTCAAATAAGGTCATTTTAAAGGCGTTGAAGTTCGCCGAACACTTGATGAATTTGAAATCTGGTTCCATTGACGGTTGACAATCTTCCATTTATACCATGCATTAAATCGACAAAAGCTACAAATAAAGTGTAATGTTCATTTAATTATTTCCTTTTTTTCTTTTCTTATTCTTTTCTGTTACTTTTTTAATTTAAATCCCAGCACCCATGGTTCCTATTCTTGTAGCTAACATTAATTACTAAGGTTCCTGTTTACAAAAATATAATTTAAAAAAGTAAACAAAAAAATGAAGCTTTTTTATTATTATTGATTATTAATTAATATTATTAGTTATTAGTATTAAATTAATATTCCTCTTACTAATACTACTTATTATTACTTTCATCATCAGCATCATCATCATTAATATGACCTATTGTAATAATAAGTTTCTTATTGTACTATTTAATAAGTGTGACAGTTCGTTGTTGGGTGTTAATATATAGGTATATCAAACGTAAATATGTATTCCTCACCATCTCTTTCCTGGTCCCAAAATAATTGTAATGAATGCCATCCATGAACTTTCAGTTTTACTTTTATCACAATCACGTTCCATCTGCAAATTAATCCTACAAATCCGTTGTGAGTTTCCAAATTTCTTTTCATGGTGGAACTGCAGCTCGAACGCGGTAAATGATTTAGAATGTCCGATGTCCATTTTTAATTTGAGAATTCATAAAATTTTCAAAATAAATGTGAGACTCTTTTGTATTTTTATGGTGGAGAATGTAAAACCACTATACATCGAAGGAATGGGTCACCAATGAAGTTGACTCACTGTCTTGAGAAGGATCAGTAAATTCTTTAAAATTCCCTCCTTAAAAAGACTTGCAAATGTCGGTGTCTCAGAAATCACACCTCTCCTCGGCAGTTCTACTTGAAATGAAAATTGATTTCAATCACAACGGATTTGTACGACAAATATTCAGTTTTGAAAAACTTTCTTAAAATTTTTTAGTAAAAACAATGCTCCAATCCGTACTCTGATTTTAATTTCTGTATAAATAGAACAACGTCCTCAGTTTTTCCCATTTTTGCAAAGCATGATCGGAACTAATCACTTTGTTGTAAATTAAAAAAAAATCTTTCGAATGTTCCTCTTTAAAATTTGTTTGTGATGGTTAGTTCTTATTTATCGCATTTTTGTTTTTTATCTGTCAGAAATTTACCAACCGAATCAAGTAATTGGTTTTTCGGTTACAATGTTTAATGGTTAAAATTTATTTTTTATTAAGATAACGAAAAAGGTTCCTAATAGATTTCATATCGGTTAAATATTAAATTATATGTAATTTGAATTTGCATTATTTATTTCTTTTCTCTTTTTTTGTCCTGTTTTTTTCTTTTTTGCTGACCCTGTTCACGGAAGTAATAGTACATTAGTTATCACCAACAGAAAGAAGAAACGTAATCTCATCCACTCGCTCATCTTGTGAGTGATGCAAGTCAGCAGCTTTCCTAGACAATCTCTTTCCGTTAGCTTTGAAAAGTCGACTCTCCATCTCCAATAACATAACTACTCGCCAGTGGCGTGACGTGAATTGCGATATATCGATTGTTATGCCATTTAAACCTATGAAAAAAGATCGATTATTAGGATGTTCGCAGCGAACATCTTAGTAATCGATTCTTTACCATAGTTCCAAATGGCGATATATCGATAATCGATCCTTCACGCCACGCCACTGCTACTCGCATAATTAAAGCAAAAGGCCTCTTCCATTACCCCATTCAATTTTATTTCTTTCAAGTACTTGTTTAGTACCATGTCTACGTTTTTGCTGAGTTAGTTATCAAAATTCATTGCTCAATATTTTGTGGATGAAAAATTTGTCCGAGTTGCATTCTTTTAATTTCATCGCTTAAAGTTTTTTTCTTTAAAAACATATGTACATTTCCGACCGCAGAAGAGCTCAATTATTCACATTCAAAGCTGCTGAGTTCTCATGATATTTTTATTAAGAAATTTACAGTAATCATCATTACGATTTTTTTCTTTCGGGAAAATCGTATATGTTACGTTGATGCAAGAAATACTCTTTTATTGAATTTTGGAAGCTAATTCAGCCGATTTTAGAATGCTTTTTTTGTTTGTGCTTCATAATTTTGTTGATTTTTAACTTCTGCTCGTAAAATTTTGTGATGAAATGTGATTTTGTAAATTCACGTTTAAGGAATGCGCTCGAGTATTTATGTATTTTTTTTCAAATAATAAACATTAATGTTCACTTATAAATGGAATCATTCAGAGAAAATACATCCATATTTGTGACTTTTTCTCGCGTCATGCGTCATGTTCTTTCCTTGCATTTTCTATTCCAACGAATAAATCACTTATCATCAAAACAGAAATACTGTAAACAAAAGCATTTTAATTTTGCTGTACGTGTTTCTTCAATTCTTTTTTTTCTTTTAAATTTTCGTTCTTTTTATATTCAATTTTTGTTTCCTCTTCACACACAAGAGGCCTACATAAGCTTTACTGTAACAAGAAGTTCGATTGCCTCTCAATCGGATTATTGACGATCCAACGAGTCACTTTTTGAATCCTTATCGATTGATCCTGATCGATAAATCCCTATCGTAACAATGCTTTTTATCGATCAAGGTCATTCGATATCGATTCCAGTGGCGTGGCGCGAAGGATCGATTATCGATATTTCTCCATTTGAAGCTGTCGTAAAGAATCGATTATTAAGGCGTTCGTTGCGAACTCCCTGTGTATCGATCTTTTTCCATAGGTTTAAATGGCAGATCAATCGATATATCGCAAAGCACACCACGCCACTGATCGATTCAACAATCGAACCGCAGGTTCGCGTATTGCAACGATTTGGATTATAGTTAGACTTTTCCCAAAAGGACACTGTTTTGAATTAATAGAAAAATTAGGCTTATGGTGATTGATATCTCGTCGTCCTTTGTTACTTACGCCATCCTCAGTTTTTGTATTTTGTGCGGTAGTACACATTGACTCTTCTTTTTATGTACTCGAACTCAAGTTACTGTCAAAACCTGTTTCCTGTCATTTTCAAACTGTTCTTAACTAATTCACTCGACTTCGCAGAACTTTCAAATTCAATTCAAGCTGTCTTGACCTGCCAGATTACTGTTAGTTGTATGTGAAAAACGAAAGCTCACTCCAAGTTGTATTAAGTTTGGTCATTTTCAACTGTTGTATAAATGGTAATAATAAACGCTAGTTTATCAATAAATATGGACTACGTTTTTTCTCTCATCTCCTTAAAAGCTAAGATTTTTTTAAGCCTGTACGAATTAAGTCTGAATGGCAATATAAGGGCCGTTACAAGGAGAATCGAAAGAAATATTGTAACTACTGATTAAGAAATGCAATGAAGTTGATGCATAGAATTCAGAAAGTACCAGTTACAAAGTCAGAAAACACATCAGAATAGGAACTAATAACCATGAGTCATATTAACTCAACATAAGTCTTAAAATCTCACACCGTTGCTTCAACTTTTAAGTAGAGCTCTTACTGCAGGGTTTTGAAATTTATAATGCACTTGTACTGATGAATTTTTTCCGTAATTTTTTTACGAATTACCACAATCATTATTAAAGAAATCATATTGAAGAAAAAAATTGGAAACTGTTTTACCCTGGTTTTGAAAACTTCATGCCGTAAAATATACCAACATAATTGGAATGTTTGGAAGGTGACAGATGTAATTTTAAAAAATTACAATTGCTCTCTGAATTAAATATTTTGATTACTCTGAACTTGCGTTGAAAAAACCCGAGAAAGGACAAATTGTGAAATTTATTTAACCTTCACACTTTACGAAACATGTCTCAGGCAGTATTATTTGAGCAATTGAATCAGAAATCCTCATAGTCAATATTCTTACCAAAAACGTAAGTTATGACAAAGGTGGTCCAGGATATTTTGACGAAAGTTGTGACGATCAGCATTTTCCTCTAAATTATTTAGAAATTCCTCATGATATTTTAAGCTTTAATACAAACCAATGTCCATAAGTCTCCGTCCTTTTTTTCCAGCCAGCGCAAAGAATAAGTAGGAAGGAGACTGCTTCAATGAAATAAATAAATTATACAAAATCAACAAATAAATATTGGTAGTCATAAATAAGATTTATTAGGTTCTAAAGCATCCAATGTTCGTAAGATACCTGAATTGAGTCAGAATAAAAAATTTGAGTTTCAAAAAAAGAGTACATAAATTTGAGAGGTAAAAGGAAACAGAAAATTAAATTTTGGGATAGTTATTATTAAAGATTATATTTTTAATATTATCATTTAGTAGCGTGAAAATTCTCGATCGCAACATTAGATTTAGAGGAAGAAAAAAAAGGGTGGGAGAAGGACAGGACGCTAAACTTTAAGTGCGAGTATGTCATCCTCTCGATTGTGTTTCTCGGATTTTCATTTTTACGTACGGATTCTCTTTAGATAACTCTTAAATTACAGCGTAAAGGCTAGTGTTATTATACCCTGCACTCATCATCAGTCTTCTTCCATCCAAGGATGCTCTCAAAGGTAAGTAATATTTTCGTAAGCACTAATGAAGTTCAACCCATCAACACGGGTGCCTCCACGTGAAATTGCGCGATGAAAAAAAAAAAACGTCGGGTGCCAAAAACCCCAAATGTGCACCAAGTATCTACTGGGAGTTACACGTTTTTGCTTAAGTAGAAGAGATTTGGATGAAATGTTTCATCTGTTTCAATTTAGTTATAGTTTCAATAAATCACGGAATTGTTTGTTTCCTTTGATTGATGGCATTTTCAATCGCCAATCTTTCAGCCTCGAATATCTAAATCGAGCATAAGCAGGGGTCAAGGTTTTTTATTCGTCCTCTTCTTTCTTTGTTTTTATTTCTTTTTCCTCGCTTTGAAATTTCTATGCACCGACTGCAAATTCGATTATTGGCTTGGCTTGAATCATAGGCTATCGATATTCTCCTATTTGAAGCCATGGTAAATAATCTATCATCAAAGTGTTCATTCTGCAAACCCCGATCATCGATCCTTTTCCATACATTCAAGTCGCAGATGAATCGATTCATCGCAAAGCACGGTATGCGACTGATATGAATATATTAATAAAAATCAGTTTTGGTGCAATAAATAAGAGATGAATGAACGCATTCAAAACAGGTGTCAGGGGAGCTTTTCTTTTTCTTCTTCTCTCAAAAAAGAGAAACTCAAATACCCAGGCAATTTTTGTCACTATCGATTTTAACTATAAATTAAAGCATTCTATATTCGTTTCTTTAATAGAGGATAGAAGGAAAACAAAGTCTATACCTTCTTTTTTTTCAAATTCTACTAAAAAATGTGGAAATTTTTTTTTCCTTTTCCTATTCAGTGTGATGAGTAATATATTGATGACTGAAATTGAAAAATGTGTATTTTCAAGTGTGTCGTTGCGGGTCGCCAACTTACGTTTTATCTCCTTTTAATTAAAACCAAACCAAAACATTTTCGTGGAAATTTTGAATACACCTTCTTTCCTTATTCAAAAATATTCACGGAAGTTCCAATAAGACATTTTGGTTTTTTTCTGGAAAAAATAGTAAATAAAATGAAACATGATCGGAAACTTTACAGTGAAGATATAATTTTTGACTTTAGCTCCTAATTTCTGAAGTTAAAATTGAAGCTTTTTATTGATCGAGGTTTTTGTCCAAATATGTTCCTATCTCAGACTACTATGGCAGGCTGATTCTCGAATTGTATAGACAAAGCGATGGACAAAGGAGACAAAAGGAAAATGGAGCTGCTTTACTGGTTAAATCGCGTCGTTGTCATAGACTGAAGGGAGAAATAATGGACTAACGAAGTATAAGGTCCTTCGTGGGTTGGAGTTAGTTGGTCCATTACTGAGCTTTTTTGTCCACTGCAATGGCCCACCTCCACCAATAGCATCCCTCAATTTTCTCTCTGTCTTCTGTCTCTAGCTTTGTCCATAAATTTGAGAAATCAGCTCGCTGAAGTGGCTCGTCCAGAAAGTAGAGTGGCAGCGCCACGAAGTGCGAACGGGCACGAATTTTTCCAAGAGCGATCGGAGCGGGGAATAATTATTCCGTCCGGAGGGCCAACAGATTTTCTGCATAAAAAATAAAACCCATAATGGCGGAGCTAATGCTTGTTCAGTGTTTCAATGGCCCGGACGTCGGGACACAATGGACCAACCTAATAAGTGAACGCGGGGCGGGTGATATGAGTCCGGTATCTGCACGTTCTCCATGTTAACGCTCGACTTTAGGACTCGTATTTTCTGCCACGCTAAGGAATAACGGCGTATCACCAATCCAGTCTTGCCGAATGCTCCATTGTAAAATATTTATTCTCGACGAAAGTTCTAAATATTTCTCATTTAAATTCACAGATAACTTTCATCAATTTACAAATGCGATTCCCTGAATATTATAATATCAAAAATATTCATGGGTTCTCCGGGAAATTCGTGCTTCATCAAAAAACATTTGGCAAAGTCTAGAAGCTTACCCGGCGTTCCTCCTTAGAGCGGGAGTATTCGCTCCAAAGTCGAGCGATATTCCCTACAACCTCGCTAGTCTAAAGCGGGAGGGACTCCAGAATAAGGCAAAAACCCGCCTTGCAAGGCTCAGCCCAAAGAGGACATGGTGGTTTTTGAGGGGGGAAAATATGAATTCGACTCGAAACAAGTCTTGTAGGGTGCACAATAAACAGTGCATGCCTCACCGTCAGCCTTCTTGTCTAATCTTGTAGTTGGGCTCGAAAATCCGGTACCAACTCCTTGTTTCACCGCAGTTGTCATTTCTGAGGACTTTTTGCGATGATTTATGGAATGAGGGGTTGTTTTACCTCGAGAGCGGCAACGCTGGGAGATTCCTCCCTCTTGGTGCTTCTCCCGGGTTACATGATTACATTTTCTGTCCATTAACTTCGGCGCATCCCGCCACTCAAAGCTCGCCCGTTCATGAGCTGCAGGCTCCTTTACCGGCAGCCGCCCACTGACAGGAAAAAACCGGTAAAATTACCAATTTCTCCGATGCTTGCTAATCACGGAGAATTTTAGGTGCCTTTAAGTCTTCTCGAGCAATCGCTGGTAGAAGTTCGTGAAATGATCAGGAACATCCTGAGGTCACCAGGGTCCCGGTGATCGGCAACTATCGTGGATTTTCGGTGTTTTCACTGCGTCTCGGCTCATTTTCAAAGTTTTCTTTTTTTAAACTTCTTATCCATCGAATTTCAACATTTCGGCGTTTCCGAAACGAAGAAACGTAACTGATTCCGAGCTTGCAAAATTGACTCCAACAATTCGAATTTTGACAAGAATATACCTACGCAATTTTTGCCAAAAATTTGTCAGATCTTTGCATGGGATTAGAAGAAAAACCAGTGAAATTTTCAGTTCAAAAGGCCCAAGATTAGCCTCGTAAAGATGCAATTGCAAGGGAGAATTTGGCAACATTGCAATGTAGTACCTTTCTTTCATAGGGGAGGGGGGACGACGATCAATGTGCAGCTTTTGTGCCAAAATATTCATACAGAAACTTTACTCTAATCGGCTATATGCATGATTGCTGGATTCGCACTCAGGTTCCTTTGTACCATGGATCATGATGAAAATATCATTCCTCTTCTTCGTGATCCTGTTTTGAAAACTGATCTATCATGAGGGAAAAAACCGAGCCGAAAGTGAAATTCCCATTGGAATTTCTAAACAGAACCGGACTTAAGATTCATCCTCATCGCAACTCTCACCCTCCTTGTCCTCCAATGCGAAGGGTGAAAATATACCTGTAGCCGCAGGATGGCGATGGAGGTAGAAATGAAAAGGGGGAAAAATCAGTCTCATCCGGTGACAAAAACAATGCTGTCAAAACGAAAACAGATTCGTTTTCCCGCTGGACCGTCCCGAAATGAATGCATGGGGCATCGGAGTGTCAAATTTCATCCGCTTCCACGTGGACCGGTAATTATTTAAACTGCCCCTGACCGTCGCGTCGCGCCGCACAGTGGATCGAGTCAAAAGGAGAGGTCGGAAAAAATTTGGAAACTTTAAGAGCTTTTAACTCCGTTTATACACAATTTTGAGGTTGTAAAAGTGGCTCCATTGGTTTCTTCGTAAAATTTTCAGCTGGAAGCACTCCTTACACTGGAAAAAAAAACACATTGGATTTAGAGTCCAGACTCTTGAGAACATTGACAAGAAAAATACTCTTGATTCAATCGGATTTTTG